CCCCTGCAGCAGGGGAGGGACAGACCCCACTGCTGAGCGGCTGGGTCCGGCCGGGTGTGGGGTGTTGCCCTGGCAGATGGTGACTCGGTGTGCCAACTAGCTCCTCCTGCTCCCCCCCCGTGTCAGCTGGGTGGGGGCATGCCCCCCCCCCGAAGTCCCCCTGCCGAGCTCCGCCGCAGCCCCCCATGCGAGCTCCCCTCCTGTTCCCGTGGAGATGGGCGGCCGCAGGGACGGCTGTGCGTGGGTGTCTCCTTCCGGCTCCTGGCGGAGGTGCCCAAAGCCTCACGCACAGGAGTGTGCGGGGCTGGGCGTGCGCCACAGCCGAGGAGCCCCACGCATGGGGAGCAATGGGTGCACGGAGCTGGGGGGGACTGGCCGTGGGGGGCAGCGTGATCGGACCCAGTGAGTGGCTGTGCCCAGGGCCCTGCAGAACGTGTGGCCAGCCCCGCTCAGGGTTCTGCCTCCCCACAGCCCAGGGCTCCGTATCATCTGCCCCCGCGGCCGCCATACGCGTCGAATAGCCGGGAGAGGCAAGTGGAGCTCTGGAGCCCTGTATGAGAGACCTCTGTGGGGCCCAGAGCAGGGCCCTTAACCACTCGCTGGTCCCGCCCCAGACTCCGGGGAACGGCCAGCCCCTGGAGGGCAGCCTCCCCACACGGGATGGTCGCGGCCACAGTGGCCAGAGGCCAATGAAGACGACCACCAAAAGCAGCGTTTTATTGTCCTTACGCTGGAGATTGTCTGCTCCGTCCTCCAGGGCTGTCTCTGCGCCATGGCTCAGCCCGGCTAAACGCTGGTCAGGGCTGGCTGCGCCCGGCCTCCCTCCACCCCCCTGGAAAACAAGGCGCAGACACTTCCCAGCCGGGCAAGGCCAGGCCCTGCCCTCCAGCGCTCCCAGTCTAGGTGCAGGGAAGGGGCGAGGAGGCCGGCTGGGGGAGGGGGAAGGGCTGGGAGGGGATCAGGCGGTTAGCAGTTGGGCAATGTCTGCAGAGGAGGGTTAGAACCACAGGCACGTCCTGCCCTCGTGCTGCGCCCCGTCCCACTGGCCCTGCCCCGCCCCAGGGCATGCAGGGCGGCCCCACTGAGCCGGCTGGGCTATGGGGTCGGCCTGCCCCTCTGCCCAGTGCTGGGGGCGACTCTAGCTGGAGCCGCTCCGGCTCCCTGCCCGGCAGCAATGGGGCAGCCCCAATCGGTGCCGCCGGGCGTCTCTGCCCTCGCGCTGGGAGGATGCAGAGGAGTTTCCGTGTCTCCCCACGGCGCGAGCACGCTGGCCGGGCCTTGGGACTGGGGCTGGCTCCCCCAGCGCAGCAGCAAACCAACGAGTTCTGCACAGACGTTGGGGGGGCAGCAGGTGCCTGGCTGAATCCCTGCCCGGAAGTGACACGATGAACAGGGGGCTGCGTTTCCCGCAGTGCCCTGCACGTCCCCGAGTGTAACTGGGACAGGCTGGGTTGCCGGGGCGTTAGGGGATCTGGGTTCTGGCTGGGGACAGGGCCCTTGGTGCTTCAGCTCCCTGACGGTAACTGGGGATAAGACCTCCCTGGCGTGCCCGAGGGATGAACGCACTGCGGGGAAGAGATCCCTAGAAATGAACGCCGCTGACCGCGGGAGAGCAGCTCAGTGGGAGTCGAACGCTGCCCTGGAGCTAGTCTGTCCCTCGCAGCCGTGCCGTGGGCGCAGGGAACGTGCAACGTGCTCGGCTTTCCGCAGGTATCAAAGCGGAGATCGTGGTCAAAACGGAGCCCGAGGACGACTCCTACGGCGAGTGTGCCCAGCATTACGGTGAAGGAGATGGTCCCGACGACCCCTTCTGTGAGTGGGGCTGGGATCCATCGGGACGGTCTCCGGGGACAGGTGCGAGGGGAAGAACTCAGGGACCCGCCTGTAGATTCCTCACGGTGGCACCTGCTGTAGCCAGCTCCTGGCACACACCGCTCCGGTCTCTGGAGTCCTGGTTTGCCTACAGGAGCTGCCAGAAGCCGGGGCACCCTGTCGCTGGGGGATGTGTGTGTGGGGGGGATTTGGGCAGACTGTAGTAAGTGGGAGGACGACAGGATGGGGCCCTGGGGATATATTCACAGGCAGGGACAGGAGATCCAAGGTCTCTTGCTGTGTCTGCCACACACTGCAGAATGACACACAGACACACACACCCCAGCCCGTGTTCCTAGGGGCAATCAAATCCAATTTAAAGCTATTTTGCAAGTTCTCCCTCCCCAGCCCCAGTGACCACAGGAAACAGTGGGTCAGGCTTTTTCTTTCCTGTGAACAGGTGACACAAACCCGGAGATTATCGTGAAAGTGGAGCCGGACGATGAGTCGGCCATTGGTTATCCCCAGGGCCTGAGCGAAGGTGGAATTCTCGGCTACCCCAGCCCAGGTGAGCCGTGCAGATCCCGGAGCAGCTCCGGGGATGGGAGGACGGGAAGAGCTAGAAACTCAGGGGAGCCCTGTGTGAAATTGGCGAGCCGGACTTGCTGTGTTGTGCCGGCTCCTGGGTAGCCACTGGGTGCAGTGAAGCCCAGAACTGCAAATCTCCCTGCCCTCGCAAGCGAGAGACCGTCCTGCTGCAGGGGGGCCGGAGGCTAAGCCCCGGTTACCTGGGGGCACTCGCGTTAAGAGATTGTTCACTGCAGTGCTGTCCGGAGGCCTGAACGGCCCCCTCAAGACAGGAGGCAGGTCTCCCCCGGCTGTCTGCAGCTGGGAGAGATGCACCTGGGCCCCGGGACTGGTCTGTGCCTGCTGAGAGCTCTCTGACTCGTGACGAGAGACCTGGTGAAAATTACCCGAGGGCCTCTGGCTGTGTGCACCTCTTCCGGCTGTGACGCTGACCCAGCGGGGTGGGGGGAGCCGGCCTTGGCGGTGACCCCACGAGAAGCCAAGAGAAATTCCTCCACTGCCTTGTGCGAGTGCGATGGCCCGGCCTCCGGTGGGGCTCCCGGCTCAGACGATGACAGGGCTGCCCTCCGCCAGCTCCCTGGCCTCCTTCCCAAGCACGTCTCCAGCATGTCTGTACCCGCGAGCTCCCCCCGGGGGGCATCACGTGGCTCCGTGAGCGCGCTCACAGTTGTATCGGTGCTGTGCCACTGTAAGCGGGTAAGCACAGACATGGCCTAAGACTAATAAGAAAATTGCCTGTCGCCGCCTATGCCCATGGTGGCGTTCTCATGGCTGGGGGAGGTGTGGCTGTGACCCAACCCAGCACGGGTCAAAGGTTGATTTTCCAAGGTACAAATGGGAGCGAGATGCCACCAGCCATTGACAGTCAGTGCCTGGGAGCAGCTGCTTTCTCGGTCAGCGAGCTCCGAGGGTGCAGGGCATTAGAGCCTGCGTCTCGGTACACACAGGGGTGTGCCACCGAGCGTCAGCGCCTGGCACTTAGCTGGATTCTGCGGTGAACACTGGGAATTCCCCCGTCCCCGGCACACGGAATAACCTCTGGCCTCTCTCTTCCCCAGCAGGCGATGGGAGCAGAGGTGCCGGCGAGCGGGAGCGCCCCGGGGAAGAGTCCGAGGATGTGAAACCGAACAGGGCTTTGCTGATGAGAGGCTTAGAGGTGGCTTCCTCGGGCTTGCTCAGGACAGAACCCAGCATTAATCACTGGAAAGTGCAACACGCCCAGGGAAACATCGCCGCGCTCCAGAGAAATGCGGTGGCTCCGGAGGGGCCGCAGACAGCCCCTGAGCCCAAGGGAAAGGGGCCAACGGCCCCGACAAGCAACCCCAGCCAGAAATCCCTTTCGGCCTCTGACCGCGGGGGGGCCGTAGCCGCCAGCACCGAGCCGGCGAAACGCCCGCGGGCCCACGCTGCCGAGCGGCCGTTCACGTGCACAGAGTGCGGGAAGAGCTTCCAGCACCGGGGAAACCTCATTACTCACCTGCGGGTGCACACGGGCGAGAAGCCCTTCACCTGCACCGAGTGCGGCAAGAGCTTCAGCCAGAAGGGCGACCTGATGCGACACCAGCGCATTCACACGGGCGAGAAGCCCTTCGAATGCAACGTGTGCGGGAAGAGCTTCTGCTCCAAGCAGACCTTCATCCTGCACCAGCGCATCCACACCGGCGAGAAGCCCTTCTCCTGCACCGAGTGCGGCAAGTGCTTCAACCGCAAGGCCAACTTCATCACCCACCAGA